TCGCTCTCTGTCCTTCTTTTGCCCTCTCCCATTCCCTGTGCTGTTGGGATTTCCTTTGTCCCTTGGTTAAGTCCGTTTTGTGTTTTGCTGGCCGCCCGTTTGTACATTATGCAAGTTATTTTCGCAACCTTGTGGAAAAATATGAAATCAGCGAAATATATTTATGACTTATTTTGTTAAGGGGACAAAGGACCCGTCCCAGAGAGACACACAGAGAAACCGAGAAAATGAGAGTTGATGGAGTTGGGCTTAGCATATGAAAGGGAATTCTGCGGCCAGCAGTGGAGTGGATTGCTTGAGATTAGGATACTTAAAATATGGTTTATAACCCTTGGTCTATGAGTGAGCAAAAAGAGAGAATATTTATAACTTACAGCCGAAATAAATCTATGAAGCAAAGGGTTTCGGGAAAGATACGTTTTCGATTGTCAAAATGTTTAAAAGTATATTGAAAGTCTACAGATATATTTACATGAACTACTAATTAGATTCGAAAGTGGTTTTCTCTTTACCCAGCTTAAATCTCTTGTTTTATTTTCCCTATTTAAAAATATGAAAAACTTCGGGAGACATATTTTCTGTTTGCGTATGGGGAAACCCAATAACAATTTATGTGTGTCAATGCGTGTCAGGGCAGCCGTATTTGGTTGCTCTATACTTTGAGCTTGGTCTACCATCCTTTGGCCATTAAATTAATTTTCCCTAACACTGTCTCTACAGGGATGCCTCTCATGTTTCTGCATTTCGTTTTCAACGTTCTGTTCATTTTAATACTCTTTGTGAGACGGCAGTCTTGTTTTGTGTGAAAGTAACCGAGAAAAATGTCGATTTTAAAACATAATTAAATTTAATCAAGGTATTTAGATTGAGGTTAAATAATAAAATGTTAAACAAAATATTGAATGGAATATGGACATAATATCCATATAATACAATAACATCCACAGTTTCGTTAGCTGGGTTGATAGTTCAGAAAAGAGTGCGAAGAACTTCGGCTGGGGATTCTCTAATCTCTTATCACTTTTTCGATTTGCTTGTTTTGTCTTTTCGTGTGTGCGAGAGAGCCTGAATACATAGTTTTTTCTCCATTCTTCTCCATTGCCGTTGGTGTTGGGATTTTATTGCTGCCATACATATATGTATGTAGTTTAAAGTGTTGTAAATATTTGCTATACAACAATGTTTGCACTCGGTTGGAAATTTGCAGCCATTTTTTATGAACCCCCAACCCCCGCAGTTATTTTGAATCCTTTGCTTGAATCCGAAGCGGGTGGAGAGGGGGGAGTGATTTGGATTTGTTGGCGTGGGTTTATTTATTATTTTATAGCTGGATTGTGACGTGGATTTAGTGGAGCGATATTTGGTTTAGCCCGCTAAACAAATATTATATGAGACCCGCGAATGTTTTCTGCAAAAGTAATTGCACTCAATCGCATATGGAATATTTACGAATCGAAATGTCAGAGTTAAAGTTTAGACCGCCCTGCCACGGCGCACAGTGCACACAGTTTAGTGCAGTTCGTCCCGGGCTGAATGGGAAGGGGCGGAGGACCCTTGGACCGGACTTAATTGAATTTTCGCTAATCCAATAGATTAAGGAGCAGCAGCAGCAGCAAGACGGCTCCTCTGCTTCAGTCCTGCCCTGCTCCTCTGCTGCCTGTAATGCAATGCAAAAACAATAACAAAATTATGCTGGCCAACAGCAGTGGCAGCTGACAAGGCTAAGCCTCATCCCAGTCGTCCCAGCGGGTCTGGGAAGATGACCTCAAAATTGCAGCCAAAGTATCGCCAAGAAAGGGACAAGTCCCAGAGCCACAGCCGCACTCTGCACGGGCCTGGGACCCGTCTCCAAGGATGGCACCAGTGTCTTTGCAGGGGCATAGTTTTCTTTCATCTTTCACTCCTCATTGTTTGCGTACATTTTTTTCTCGAATATTTGTGCATTTCTCGGAATTTTATTAGCCCTGCCCGGACCCCACTAAGTGTGCCCTCCCCCCAGCAAACTGAATTTAAATCATGCATAAATTAGTACATTTTCCGCATACACAATTTCTGAGCGAGTCACATTTGCTTAGCGCATTTTCGGGGGCTATAACTAATTATATGTTGACATGACATTTATTTGACTTGCATAAATTAGGCAATTAGTTGATGAACGTTAATTAAGTTTCTGGAAAAGCGCTATGCCAGGTGCTAAGCTGTGGGCGGTAGGGGCAGCAGGATAAGCACGGTTACCGTGGAGATCAGCGCAAAGAATAATTTAGGAATGTCAAAGGGTTTCATTAAGTGTAACATTTTAATGAATATCCCTTAGATAAAGAATAGTGACTTGGAGAAGAATATCAAAACCATTATTATTGTCAGAGCGGATCTAATTAGTTTCCCCATAAAGAATAATATTAATATTATATTGATATATCATAGATCTATAATCAATCTCCCGCCCTGGCCAATTCCTGGTCACATCCCGCTCCTCCCAGAGGATATCCACTTAAACCATCAAGAGCTGGACGAAAGGTGAAGTGCGAAAAATATAATTAAAGACTGAGTGGAAAAAAAATACTTATGGATAAAGAATTTCGAGAGTATGAGAATGATGCAACAATTCGCTTACATTTTATCGCCTGCACTCGACCAAAAGGTGAACGACGATAGGACGCAGAACATTTTCGACACATTGTGGCTTCGTCTGTGGCAGGCTCCCACACTGTCCTCTCTCTACCGACAGCGTGGCGTATACGCAATAAAGGAATGGTAGCCAAAAGCCAGGCCAAATGATGGGTTGAGTGCAGCCGACGGTTCCCCACTGCAGTTGGGCGACGCTTGTCATCATTAGATTAGAGTGCAACCAACAGACAGAAAGAGAGAGGAACAGATACGAAGAAAGAGAGGGAAGTTTCACATGCATACACAAGGGCACACACAAAGAGACAGAGACAGAGAGACAAAAATTAAACTATGGGGCGTTGCCTTGTTAGGATGTGCGTTAAATTGTAAAACAACAGAGTGCGGGGGTGGGGGGCGGTGCGCGTGGGTGTGTCAGTGGTGGCAATGTACTACAGGACTGCACCCATCTGGCCAGTGTTATCCTGGCTGTCATGCTGTGGCCAGTTCTCGTTTATTTTGCGTATTAGACGCTGCTATTTTGTGCTTATTGTTCCGAGTCATTCTCCCTCCACCCATTCACCATCTCTCTTTCACTCTCTCTACCCCTCTCTATGTATCTGCTCCACACCGCCTCTTACTCTATTTCGATCTCTCTCTGTCTGTCTGTGTGTCGGGCTGGGATGGGATGGGATGTCTGGATGTCGCTACTTTAGCACCCATTCCGTGTCCTGTTATTTTTCGCTTGTTTGGTTTCTTTGGTGTCCCATTGTCAGCTCATTTGTAATTTTTGGCACAACGATTTCAAATTAAGCAACCGGAAATGAGCTGACATTTTGTATTGCTGCTGCTTCTGTCGCTTCTGCTGCTGCTTCTGCTGCTGTTCGTTTCCATTTCATTCCACGCTTCTGTCGTTTGCCAGCTTAAGGGCACTTTTGTGGCATATCATCATCATTGAGTTGTCCTTTAAGGACACACACAGTCACCATCACCATCACCATCACGAGATCTGCATTCAAGTTGTCTTGTCTATTATTATGACAATATTAATATTTACATTTTACAGTTATTGTCTAGCCAGAGCATCCTTTTCCACATACCACAAACTATCCATCTCCCTCTCCTCCTGTCACTCCATCTCTTTCTCACCCTTGGTACACATGTATCCTTTCTCCGTTCTGTTCTGTTCTGTTCTGTTCTGCTCTGTTCTGTTCTCTACTATTCTATTTATTCTATTCTATTTTGTGTTGTTTTGTTTTGTTTTGCCGCTTGTCATGTTTGCTGGCTCGTATGCATTTTCTGTTTTCTTGTACGTATGTGTATTGCCCTATGCTTCACCCGCTGCCATTCTCCACTGCATCGTCCTGTTTATTCTTGTCAATATGGTTTCCATTTTGTATGTTGTGCATTACTTCCGTTAGATGTTAACCACTTTATCCCTTGTCCATTAAATTATGTTTCTTTGTGGCCTGTTCCTCTCACAATTCAACTTCTGCACATACACTCCAATGATGATGGCACATTGCGTCTTCAGCGGCACGCTCCTAAAAGTAAAAGTCCTTCCTTATTTTTAACAGCGCTGTTAATCTCTCTCAAGCTCGCTTACATTTATATTTCCCGCTGTTGACTCCAAATTTCCCTTATCCCATTCACAGTTCGAAACGGAGAGCTTTTGCCACTGACTCTCAGTCAGCTGCTTCGCCAATGACAAATTTCCCAGCAACACAGCCACACTTCGGCTCGACTTTCGTTCAGTGGCGAGTGGCCTCTCACTGGCTACCCACCCGACGACAGCCGAATCTTTTCGACCCCTGCTGCCAGCGACAGCATCGTCGTACTGCTACTGCTGCTGCTGGGACGACTCCGGCTAGGGCCGACAGCTTCCTGCCGCTGATGCTTCAGTTACGCTGATAATGTCAAATCGTTTGGTTCGCTGTGCTGCTGCCTGCACTGCCGTTGCTGACACCGCTCACGAGGACTACGACCACGACCAGTACCAGGAGCAGGACCAGGACGACTACGACAACAACGGTGGAGACGGCTCCCTGGCACAGACAATGGCCACGAGGACGATGGTGACGACGGCCAACGAGTAAATAAATTAAGCGACGAGCAACAGCAAAGTAAATAATACGAGCAGCAGAAAACAAAGTAAACCAAATGAATTAGCAATCCATAAAAGTTCGCAATCTAAATACGAACAGCAAACAAACACACAACAAACAACTGCCACTGCGACTGCGACTGCAACTGCCGGCTAAAACGTAAAAAGTGTCAGAATTTGTGAAAATTAATATTTCACCAGAGATTTAAGTGCTTGAGTGCAAACAAACAAAACAAACCGAAAAATACCGAACAAAAACACAGAACAAACCAAACAGAACACAGAACAGGGAACAGAGAACACAGAAGCTGAAGCCGAAACAGGACAAACTTTTCGTTTTACAAAAGTTTTATTTTACACACTTTTTCCACCCAGTTCCCGTGCTCGCGTAAAATTATGAAAAATATGTGAAAAATGTGCAGAATCCACAAAATACTCGTACAAGAAGAGCAGCAACAAAGGCAACACAAACAGCAACAACATTAGCTGGCAGGCCCCTGACATAGGTCAAGCCACTCGGAGCAGTAAGGGGAAATTTTTCTGGTCTGTCCCGAAATCCCCTGACGTTTCTTTTCCACTCTGCGAGCGCCAGTGGCAGTGCCAGTGTTCGTGACTGTGTGTGGGAGAAGTAGTGCGGGAATCCCTGTAACGTGCTAAAATTAGCTAATTTATTGCTCAGACAACAACAATCACAACCAACAAGAAACCAACAGAAACAGAAACAACAAACGCTTGCTTGGCAGTCATAACATTTGCCGTGCTGCTGCTGCTGGTCCATGCCCCAAAGGTAAGTCCAGATCCTGTAAATTCTGCTTGGCTGCGAATTTGTTTCCTTTAAAACTAGTTGAAAGTTTCGGGCTGAAAGAGGTAAAGTGGTACTGAGTGAAGTGTATTAATTGTATTTGATATGAGTTATATATATGAGTTAATAATTCAATCATTTGGTTTTAAACTAATTTTTGGATATTCCCATAATTCTGAAGTCGAAAAACAGTGTAATTTTAAAAAGATATTCAAACTAGTGTATATTCCAATAAAACATAGAATTAATTGTGACTTTAAGTTAAACGGATTCGTTAATCAAATAAATGTATTTATATCTAGCAGATCCGCGCGCTTTGCTGCTTACTAAATGCATTTAATGTTTAGAAATTCATCGCAATTAAAGAATGATAATCAAAAGCAGAATTTTTGCAGAAAACAATTATTCATACAAAAAGGTATACAAAAAAATCTATCATTAAATGTTCTGTTCTACAGAACGACACAAAATGAAATGAAGAAAGCGTTCAAACACACATTTTTAGACAAAATTAGAGATTTTATTTTGATTAATTTTTAATTTTCGAGGAACCTATTTATAGAAAAGTAAAAACTTTTGTATGGAAACAATGCCAGATTGGTGCACTCGTTGCGGAGATAGCCGTTTACACACAGATTTTTTTCTACAAATTTATAGTATAGAAGATTGGGTGTAATCTTTTTATGGAAATCTGTTGTAGAGGTTCGACACTATTCGACACTTTCATGTTAAATTTTGATAAACGAAACTTTCTGAAATTTTTTCTCGCCTTGGAACTATTTTTTCCTCTCACAATATTTAAGTCTTCGTTTATATTTCTTACTCAATCTACTATTGGCATTTTCGCCCATTCCTTAATCAAATTGAAGAACTTGTCGCAGGCCTTTTCACACTCTTCTTGACTTGGATACACCTTGGAATAGCATTTGTCCCCCGGTTGTAGGGCCAAACATTTGCCATTGCCAAAATAAAATTTTTGATTTTTCACATCATAACTGTGACAATTTTCACTACTCGAAGCCAAAGCAGTCAAAGGCGTGAAGCAGAAACATTCATTACATTCGTAGAGGCCAGAAGCTGAAATTAATGGAAATTCGAAACTTGTCAGCGGAGTATTATGTTTTTCCAAAATTTACCAAACTGCAGCAGAATCAGCAGAGCTGGAATCAGTAAAGCAAACATCGTCGGTCAGGAAATGGGAGCCACTAACGATACAAAATTTAATTGGTAATCTCATTAGCCAAGCTGAAGTGAAAATCGTTAGTCATGCTCTGATGCTTTTCTCCATCGGACACATTCAATTCGAGTCTGCCAAGGCAGCAAAATGAGCAAATCTTTTCTGTAAGTCTTGTGCATATTAATTTTGGGCTGAATCCTTTTATTCTAAAATATAGTTCAGTATATTAGCTCTCCTAATTGTGTGTGAAAGCAGCTTGACACATCAGCTGAAACTTGAATTTCCTTTTATAGAAAGGGGCATTGGATGTGGTCGAATCAATGGGACAGTTCCAGCCGTAAGTACGAGTATATTCTCGTATTCAACCCGATTAACAGAATACTGTTAATCCTGTTACTTTTGAACAGCCCCATTTAGGCAGCGAAATGTGGATCATTACCAGATGGATGGCAAATCAAAAGATGAAACCATTTAAATGCTTTCAGGATGATTTTCCACCAGATATACCTGTAGCCACCCATGAAAGCGTTTTTCTGGGCACTGACAACATCACCTTTGCCGTTCATTTGATTTGCTTAGACGAAACTTCCTCGGAACAAGAAGATGACAAACATTATTGTGAGTTGCCAAAGGAAGATGTCATGTGAATATATCTTTTAGTGCTTATTATTCTATTGCTTAGATTTGGTTCAGACATACTCCACAAAGAAACATCCAGTGCAGTCCACGATGAACAAAATAAGGAAAATCCATGAGGCCCATGGCCTGCGAATAAAATGGTTAAGAGGATGCAAATAAGAGTAAAATTGTGCATAACTCAACAATTGTTCAGCTCTCTCGGATGAGATTTTTGAGTTTAAATTTACAACAAAAAACAATTGCTTCACACTTGGACTGGAATAAGCCGACGAAAAACTCCAAAATCCACCATCAATATCACGCTACTAAAAACCGGAGACAACGAATTTGAATATTTCCTAACGCGTTCCTAGATCGTTTCCAACAGTTTTTTCAATTGACCTGTCGCCTCCAGCTCTCCATTAAAAGATACTCGTATCTAAAAACTTTAAACTCTATGACCCACATGGGTACCTGGCGTAACCAGATAGATTGGAATATTTTCACACGGATATTTTTTGTTTGTTTTTTAGGGCAGAACCAAAACAAGCCATTTTCAGATTTTTCCCGTTTTTGTATTGCTTTTGTTCGAGCCAACCAACGTAAAGTTTTCCATGTACTTCCATGTGGACTTTTTTTGGGTTCTGTCGGTTCGGTGGCTTACAAAAGTTCGAATGTTAAATGATTTTCAGGGCGGAAACTTTGGCATCCCTGAAAATGGAGGCACGCCATTTGTTAGGCTGTCAGACAGCAAGAGAACACACAACAAAAAGTATGTACCAACTCCGCGTGACACGTGAATTTATTGCATTCAAAAATATGAAAAGTTTCATCAAAAGTGCAACAACAGCTAGGACAACCATGAAGAGCGGGCAGGGAGGCAGGAGGGCAGCAGTAATTGAGTCGTCGCCCTCCGCCAGCACTAGTAGAAGGGTCCAAAACAGCCCCACTCGAAGCAGCAGGCGCACCTGTTGGGCACGAAATAGAAGGGTGGGGCACAGTTGCTGTTGCAGCCGCCGTTGCAGCAAATGCACTGCAGGCTGGGCAGGACGGGTCCACACGGACCGCTGGTCAGGCTGTACGAGATAACGGCACACGGCTGTTGGCAACAGCCGCCGCCACAAGGACCGCATCCTCCGCACGGCCCGCAACCTCCGCACGGCCCGCATCCTCCGCACGGCCCGCATCCTCCGCACGGCCCGCATCCTCCGCATGGCCCGCATCCTCCACAGGGTCCGCATCCTCCACAGGGTCCGCATCCTCCGCAGGGTCCACATCCTCCACAGGGCCCGCATCCTCCACAGCGGCCACTACCGCAAGGTTTGCAGGGCTTGCAGGGTTTGCAGGGCTTGCAGGGTGCACGGCATTGAGGCGGCCGACAACTCATCTCAAAGATTGACTTTTTCCGTGTCTGATTAAAGGACCACCTGCACCTGTTGCTTGCTCGTTTGCAAAAGACTTGGCGCAAAAAATGTGCTAAATATGCCGGGCTAATTGAAGGATTTCGATGCGATCCAATCCCAATGCCCCAGTGTGGCAGATAAAGCACCTTTTCTTCGCTTCGTTTTTGCAAAATCCCCTCCAAATTTGTTCAATAGTTTCCCAAAAGAATGTTGTTGCAATGAAAATGAAAAAAAAAGCAAAGCGTAGTCGATAGGGGCCCGAAACTCACAGCAAAATGTGGAATCAAAGTTGGCCAGCCAGCGTAACAATTACATTTCATTTAAAATTCTATTTTCCCTGTGGTCCCATTTTGGCTTATGCAGGATATGAATATCTTAACCAAAGCCACACGCTTCCGCCGCACCTCAGTCGTACGAATATTTGCAGTAGACGATGCGTGGCATGTTTTAGTCCTGCTGTCGCCTGGTCGCCTGGTCGCCTAGTCCTCTGATCCTGCCCTGCCACTTCCCTGCCCAGTGGTACTCGGTCACTGTGGCTAATGTAATTGATTGTCTGGGGTTGGCTGGACAGGGACTAGAGCTGAGTGTGTGGCAGATAAGAGTACGAAAAAAACGTTGTTCACGGTTCGTTATGTGTGTGAGAGACATTTGCATGCCAAACAGTGGCTAACATTCGAGAGATTTCTATATGTTGGCGTAACTTAGCAACGGCAGATGCAGAGGTTAAATGAACAAATGAAAATCCATTAATATGTAGGATACAAGTGGGGTACAAGTGCACTTTAAATGGTGGGTATCTCCACCTTGATTTGCTCCACTGTGTGTCGCACTTTAATTTCACTCTGAGATCTGAGATTTTACTTGACTGCCTCTCCAAATCCTCGTTCCACTAACGAAACGTTCTCCGACCCCAAAGGGCGGCGTCGACCAGACTCTCAACAGCTGTCAACAGCTCCCCGTCCCCATTTCAGTTCGTTTCCTATCTCAGACCTAGTTAGACCTCAGTCCTCGATTTTGGGTAATCTCCCGGCGGTAACCGAAAAAATACGATAATAAAAACCCTAAAGTTCCAAGATGTGTGGTGGCTGGGCTTGCGCTTCCTACAGTTTGGCCTGCTGCAATGGTCGGTTGTCGACACTGCGCTTCACGGGACGGTGCTTCACCCCGACGCCATGCGGAGCCTGCGACGACTGCTCGGCCTGTTGTGGGGGCGGATGCTGTGGCGGCGGGTGCTGTGGAGGCGGTTGCTGCTGGTAGAGCTTGCTCAGAATCGAGTGGTCAGTAATTAACATCGGATATGTGGTGGGTCATATTCAGTTTCTCCCTCATCCCGCAGGCCTTGAATATGTATTCTATCAGGCATACAACAATGACGACTGGTCCTAGGCTGAATGGGGCAGTCTCAGTTTAGTCGTTGTCATCGTAACATCTAACGTCCCTCAGCTGGTGAGTTTTTCCATAGTTTTCCTCCAAACATACAATCAAATTGGGACGTTCCTCAGTAAAATTCTCAACACCAGAGCCAAGATGTGTGGCGGCTGGGCCTGTGCCTCGTACGATCTGGCATGCAACAATCCCCCTCTGAGCACTCTGCGCTTCACCGGCAGAGACTTTGTGCCCACACCTTGCGGACCCTGCGACAAGTGCTGGGTGTGTGACACCAGTCGCAAGAACTCCAACAACTGCTATGTGCCACACATCATAGCGCCTCCCTGTCCGCCAGAGCACGGAGGACCGGCAAAGGACAATAAAGTATCCGAATGCAACTGACGGACTCAAGACAAAATAGATTTACGTATCCATAGCCCAAATACTATCAAATAAAATTCAGAGTACACTTTGGTGGGTTCTTCATTTGGGAAGAGTTATCCAGCCATGAGAGGAGCAGCCATGGAGGTCCAAAGACGACAGGGAACTCGAGTTGCATTATTTTTTTGCAGCTTTTCTGCACTGCTTTGTAGGTGCTAGCTTATCCAGGGTAGACACAGTTGCAGATCCAACTTGGAGCGAAGAAAATTTAACTGGATATATGCATTTACAATACATTATAATTTATTGTATGGAAAATATTATAAAAGCAACAAAAAAAATCTTCGCTCCTTAAATTCTGCGAGGTGTTTCGGCTTCAGTTTGATCCGAGACTCGATCTGCGCCGCCTCGAGTCTCCTCAGTAGTAGGGTCCAAAGCATCCACACTCGCCACAGCCACAGCAGCGGTTGGGCGGACAGGTCCATGGTCCGCAGGGAGGGCTGGGGCCACAGCAGCAGTTGCAGTAGTTCATTGCGGGTAGGGCGGGACCCACTGGACCGTAGGCCAGGGCATATGACACCGAACCACAGGCAGTATTACACATCTTTCAGGATCGGAGGGAACTGAAAAAAAAACCGATTAACTGGTGCCCGAATAATTTTTATAAAGAGACAAACTTACACTTCGCCGTTTGCTTGAGATCTCTCGAAAAGATTCCTATGTTTTAGGAGCGAAGAATTTTTTTTTTGCTTTTGTTTTTAAGACGAAAATTTAGGAGATGTGTACGGCACGAGAGACTAAACTAAAATGAGAATGCTCTACACACAAAATACGTTCATGGGATACCATCTCAGGGCACTCTTGATGTGAAAAATTTGAAATCTTTGAAACAAAAAGAATATCCCAAAATGTGGGATGTGTGTGGAATCTCCCTGAAATATCGATCAAAGTCAAGTTGTTGTTGTTGTTGTTTTTGGTGGTGCTCAGCTCCTGGCGTAGTACAAATTTCACACGTCAATGATTTTCCATCGGGGCGACCGACAAATAAAAAAAATTGAATTTCTCTAACGACAAAACAGCAGCGCAACAGTTTCACCCCTCTGGCAAGAATAAGAAATCATTGAAACATGTCTAAAAAAGGGAGAAAAATAAGTACTGGGAGCATAGGGAGACGGAGACACCAGCAAAATGGGCGAGGAAGGGTGAAGGGTGAAGTGGATGCCAAAGGATTTTCGCAGGACCTGCTCTAAACTGGGGAAAAGTCGATGTCGAGTTCGAGGCAGACATGAAAGTCTATTAGACTCAACGAAGCAACCTTAACGTCATTTTCCAGCTTCCTTCGGTTTGAGGGAGGTACATGAGGTGGATGTGTGTGAGTGCGGGACAGGATATATGTAGGACCTCTGCGTGTCTGTGTGGGTGCTGTGATTCACAAAAGCTGACAAGCTCATCGATCCCTGAACATTAGCTAAACATAAATTACACAGATGGCTGCACAACAATTGAGGCGTTTATTATAATGTGTGTTCACACTTGAGGCTTTCAAAAGATGCATTCAAGGCGATAGAATGAGATGTGGAGACCTAGCAAAAGACAGAGACGACTAAAAACACAAGTGAAAAAGATGGCAGATTCATCTTAAGCAAACGAAAAATATTAATATAAATTAAGGCATTGGCACGACGGAACCAGCACTTCATTCTGGCAAGAGATGACCATATTTAGTGAATTTTCATTTGTCTAGAGAGAATTTCGTAGAAGGAATATCACAGATAGAATTCCGGGTATGGTAATTAATTTAAAATTTGTATCAAAACAGGAAATAATTCTGTTTAAATGAATAACAATTAAAATTGACACGTTAATGAAATTGAAAACTGGATTAAGATTATCTTTTCGGTTCAAAGTTCGAAGAAAAGTAAGCTTAGATGTTCTAGGTATTCAATACAATTAATTTTCCCATGAATTTGAATTTATTTTTGAGAAGTTTTAGTGTCTCATTTACTTAATGTTCTTCATATAATTCCATATAATAAAATATTTTCATCATCGAATGTCATTTCTCATTTATGGACAATGAATCTTCTACTGTTTTCCCTTTTCTATGCGGCATTATTTATTCATTCGACTTCTTTAAAAAGCACTACACATCGATTTAGACAAACAACTTGACTAAACAACCCCATCCATAAAGACAAGAGACCCGAGACCCCCGGCATGCTAAAAACTATTGCAAAACTCATTTATAGACAAAAAAGGAGCGAAACTTGAAGACTGCAATTGAGTGCGCCCTCCTCTGTCTCCATAAGAAACGGCACCCCACTTAAGATAATCTCATTGGTGGCATGCCAAAAAGTTTTCCCTCACACCCCTTACTCACACACAGCACATAAAAATGTCACCACAAAAAAAAAAACAAAAAAAAGAGAGCGGAAGGAAAAAAGAAAAACAGCAAAGCAAACAAGCAAGTGGAGAGGCTTCAACTAAAAAAGGTATTTCCTTTTAAATCAAATACAAAAATTGCTGCTGGGATTCCATTCCTCTGCTCGGAGTCCACTTCCACCTCACTCTCTCTCTCTCTTCCCTCTGTCCAACCCAACCTGGCTCAGTCGCCCTGCCCTTTTTACAAGTGGACACGATGGGCACTTCATTTCATTCCAAAAACATATTGAGCCGGGGCTCTTGAGTGTGCGCCAAGAGATAAGCGCAATTATATGGCTTCAAGTGGCAGACCAGGACACGACTGGGGCACCGCAGAGACCACGGACAGCCACGGAGGTCGCACAGTAAACTGTATAAATTAGGTAAAAAAAAAAGGAACGTAACGTAACTTATGTGGCACTGCCTTCATTGAGACAAATGTTGGGTCTTTAAGTGCATTTTTTCCCGTTTCTTCAAGCACTTTAAACTTATATATTACAGATACTACTTACCCATACGGGTATTGAAAATGTATACGGTGTACGAAAGATGTAGCAAATTTCTCTGAGCTTTCGCATCTCACATTCGTTCTCTGGTCAAGTGCTCGTTATGGACAATTTTGGTCCCAACTGCTTTTTGTAGCCTTTTGTTTCTGCAGGTCCTTCTTTTTTGTTGACCGCATGCTGAGTGTGGTCTTGGCCCGTGGGCGAGGCACCCATTGTGTGGGCCTCATTTTGAAGTGGCTTTGTGGCCGATCTCAAAGGAGGAAACTTGTCAAGCATCGGTTTTTGGGCAAATGTTCACAAGTGACCATTGAAAAGTTTACACGACGAAGATGTCAATATGTAAGAAATATCCTCGAGTGATGCTTATTATAAGTTGCGGAAACTTTTTGGGAAACAATTCTGCTTGGGGCATGCACATGGCTTGGCGCTGTGGTAGCAATAAGTCAGTTTTTTATATTTTAGGTGTTCTGGAAATCGTTCTAAGGGAAATGTATGTATGTATATTTTTTCTATGCAACACATACAAAGGTATCCGTTTTCTATCCTTCGGAGAAATATTCAACAACAACCCATATATAACCTTAGTTGACATGGCTCAACCGAATTATTGAAATGGGTAAAGTAATGCCTGATTTAGCAGCGTCTCAAATCTCACACAAACACTCTCCTCATTCTCTCGCTCTCTCTCTTTCTCTCAGCCACTCAATCTTTCAGATAGTCCCACGCACAGACACCCACTGCACATTCCGTAGAGAAACCCGAGTTTTGACTCTGGTACAAAATTATGCGTATTGCAAAATTTCCACCCCTCTCCGTACACCAGACCTCCATCGTCTCCTACATGGATTACTCCTTTTGATGCGGCTCCTTCTCTGCCAATTTGACTACCCTGTAGTCATAGATCAGTTGTAGTGTGGAGTTGTACATCATGTCGGAAGATATTTGTATGTTTATTTTATTTAGATATTTCCTTTTGTTATCTTTTCGTTAATCTTGTGGAATCTATAAGGTCAATAGAATCATTCTTAGGCAACAGATTGTCTTTGGATTGCAGGTAGTATAGCAGCCAGCATTAAAAAAAAAAAAAAATTAAGTTCAAGCGAATAGAAGCCCCAATAGTTTTCCCACTTTCTGCAAGTGAGAGTCCAGGGTGTCCCAAAGTCGAGATTTCGCTTTTGCCATTCAAGTTATTTTTTGCAGTCTTCGTTTTCTATTTGAAGTACAAAATATTTTTCGTTTATTTGCACAACGTTCCCCGTACCTTCGTACACACAACTTTTCTTCGTCCTGGCCCATTCTTCTCCTTCGTTTTCCCCTCCTTGCCGACTACTTGGCACTGGCGTCGTCTGCTGGAGCTTCTATCACTGCTCCTTCGAGCCACTGCTTTTTGGTAAGTTCTTTTCGGTTGGGTTTTCTGGATTTCTGCTCGTGCTATTTTTTTCCTTCTGTGCGTTCTGCCAGGCGGCGTCAAACGTCGGGCGGCGCCAGTCCCCATGTGCGTGGGTGCGTATGAGTGATTCTTTTTCTCCTTCTTGCCTCCTTGGCTCATTCATTCCTTCATTCATTTTGTTCGTCTTGGGTTTGGTAAATGCTGCGAAACATAAAACATCAAATGTAAATTGAAAGTCGTTCGTGTGTGAAACTGAATGTGTCATCAGTTGAAGCGTTTATCATTTTTTTACTGCTTTTCGTATTCGTTTTTAGCTTCATCTGCCGCAGACCCAGACCCTGGCACAACCCAGCACCAGCCCCAGAACCACTTTCTTCGGGGGGGTTCGCTTTAAGAAGTTTAGATTTTATTTGCAGGGGTGTCAAGTTGCCTTTAAACGATTCTGGGCGTTCTCGGCGGGGCTAAGTTGTTTGCCAGCGAAGGAATGACTTTTTTTTTGGTTCGGTCTTGTTGGAGCATTGACTGCGCAATGTTTTGTAAAATCTTTTATTTCCGTCTCAAAGACACGGCACATGTGCTGGCTGGGGCATCATATTTCTCGTATTTATTGTTCGCGTTTGTTGCTTCCATGTAAATATGAATCCAAATTACGTTGGGCATGAATAACTCAACAGAAGGAATAATCTGAGACCGAAGTCGTGAGGAAAGAGGCTCTAAGATATCCCCAAGTGGCATATTATTATTGATCCGATTGATTGGTTCAAAGGGATGAGTACTTAATGTATAAATTTAAAATGAAAATAGTCGAGTCAAAAAAAGTTGCATTGGCTAATTAAGTATCGTTATTAAATATCTAAGTAGAAATGTGACATGCTAGTACGAATATTTTATTTTACTGTATAGATTCAACGAGAGTCTTAAAGCAGATTACAGTAATGCTGGTATAATTTAATAATAAATAATAATAATAATTTAATATAATCTACTTGGGTTACGTATGATCCAATATTAAACTATTTACCAAAAATTTTCAAAAGTCAATGTAAATAACAGGTAATATTATTAAAGGTTTAATATCAAGCTGTGTTTGTGGCTTAACATGATTTGGAGACTATAATCTACTTACTTTTTCCATTAAAAAATATTAATTTAATATTTAAATATCCGTTTACATTTTAAACGGATATTTTTAAAGTGTAAAATGTATTCAATATGTATTGTATGTATTTAATATTCACATTGGAACATCCCCATACATCCCTTGGAATCTTTAAATTTGATGTGCTTACATACATATAAGCAAGCAATTACGATCCTCAGCTAAGGAAAAAATACACTTTTATTACAAGTTAATTATTTAAAGATAGTTTGTATATCCTCCCATTACAAAAAAATGAATTCCGTTCCTAGCATTGACTGTAAAACTAAGCTCCGCAGTCTGGTTAACGCAGGAAGTGATTTTTATTTCATTTTTATTAACGATAAAATAATACAATTTGGAATGTCCCAGGTCCCAGGCAAATGTTTCAAGATACGATTTCCTCCAACTGTAAAATCATCCATTGAACCATTACCATTCTAATAATTATTTTAGTATTCGGTATAACTATACAAAAAACAGGAATATATAATAAGATATATAATATAATAAAGAGCAGTGAACCCAATCACATGTGGCCTTGATTCGATGTTATAAAGATTTAATAGACCAGCACTTTATGTGCAATCATTTGATTTTCCAATTTATATGCAGACGCAACCGAGGGAGCAACTAAATTGTAGAATGTGCCCACAGAGAAAATATATCAAGACAGTCAATTAAGTGAGTTTTAGAGTGTAAAACAAAGTTGCTAATTATTTACAAATTAATTGAAAATTACAAAATTAATGGTATGTTTTCCTCTTTTTTCGTCTGTTTGTTGCTCCAAGTTCGGGTTTTCTCTTGGGTATTTTCTATGCAAATGTCAAGCTCAAACAGAACAATGGAGGGGAAAATGCAGCTGCAAAAACATTTGGGGCATCAACGACATCTGCCAGATGCCAACGAGAGCAGAGCAGAGCTGTGGTTGCCTTCAGTCAAGTGGTTGTTGTTGTTGCTGCTGTTTTTCCGGCCGGGTGGCACTAACTTCATGTCAATCCTTTTGTGGCTTTGCCAGTCGTTTAATTTGAATTTAAAATGTTATCCCGCCAAATGCAATAGACCCGCCCTCTCTGCATCCCTCTCTCAATCAAACTGTGTGGCACTCATTTTCCACTTATTTACAATTACCACATTTTATTATCCCCTTTGCTCTCCCCTCCCGCACCATCGAAATTGCATTTAACATTTCACCATTTTATTTATACTCCCGTTTATATTTGTCACGCTTGTGTCTTTGTTTTTGGAACCGTTCCCCCTTTTTCGTACAATTTTAACTGCATTTTTGTATGTCTGTCAAGTCCCACACAGTTGCCCACACAGTTTTCCAACCAGCTTACCCAAGCCCCAACCCCCGAAACCCAGCTGCCCTTCACCGGTGGGCCAGACCTTGCAGATTTTGATTGTATTTTTGTTTATTTTGTTGCAATTTTAATTACTTTAATGAAAGTTTTAATTGCGAAATAGCAAAAACGCACCGAGCGAGTGAGACAGCGCGCGACAAGAAAGACTCAGATATGGTAAGAGTGAGTGAGATAGAAAGACAGGGAGGAGGAAAGACCAAAGAAAGAGAGAGGAGACGAGTGGAACCTGTAATGAGTTTTTGCGGTCTAAGAAAGGTTGGCAGCTGCACGACAACGATGACATGAGAACACTGAAAACGTTTTTCAATGTTGCTGCTGTTGCTTTCCTGGAAAATTTCTATGCCAGGTAAATGCCAGGAATTCGGTGAGTCGCAACAAGGGGGAGGTGCACAATGAATGGCAAGGCTGATTGATCAATGGTAATGAGACCTCGCATAGAGAGTCAATTTGTACAGAATCCGGAAGCAAAGTCACGCGGATTATAAGGCACACTTGGTAATAAGTGAAATGCAATTACTGCATAGGAAATAATCAAATCAGTCACAGTAGCGGGAAGGTATCCTGCACAGATGAACACAGTCCGAACACAAACAGAAAAGTGTTCGCTTTTCATATCGAGGCAGGCAAAGCGGTTATTGAGTTATTTAAATATCGTAATCACAGTGTTGCCCTTTCAAACACTTGAGAGATCACTGTAAGCTTACCTGGATCAAAGTCACCGCAAAATAAATCACAGGAAATCACTTGGGTGACCGAAAGTCAACATCTTTAGCTTCCTGCTCATTACTGCAGTCGTAACCCGAGGGGAACTCTTTGATCCGGTCGTAATTGCAGTTGGTGGTGGCACTCACACACACATTTGCATATATATATTCGCATATATGTACATACATATACTCCCAGAGTTTATGCATACATACTCGTATATGCCCCACAAGAATTCCCTCTTGACCCACAAAACGATGCAAGCAAATCGGCACAAAAATGCATGTCATACGAGGTCTCGTTTACAACTCCATTGCCAGGCACAGGCACCGCACCGAGGTTTAAATAAAATATGCAAACAATTGAGAAGCCACAAAGTATGGGTAAAATGAAATAAGTGAGCCGTATCCAGTAGACCAGAGTAATAGAAAAGAAAAATAAACCGAAATAGAAATAGAATGGAAATGGAATGGAAATCAGAGACGAGATGGTAAACTGGGCATGCCAATGATGCAGGGCATAAAAGATACAAATGTATCTCCTGCAGGGGAGTGGGGAAACCTTTTCTCCTCTTTACAATACATTGCGAATGGGATAATAGAATCGTTGATTCATATAACAAATGTTTCACATTTTATTCCTATATTCTTGTATTCCTGTTCGGGTTCAGTAGGAAAACTTTCACTGAGGGCAGTGAAGTCTAAAAGAGATTACCGCAGACTGAATACGGTGTCTGTCTGTCCTCAGCTACTCGTATTCAGCTATTGACAAATCGGAATGTGTTTGATGTTTTCTTCTACTTTGTCAATTTTTTATAAGTTAAGTATGAAGACAGAAGGAATTAATTTTGGATTGATTTTCATTAGAAATTAATACGAATTTATCATAATTGGTACTTACATATCCACAGCCTTCCCTTTGAAAGTTTGCCACGGGATTCCTCTGTTAGATAGTTTTTGTATAAGACATTTTCAGGTTTCTTTTTCGTTTCTTTTTTTATAGTTTTGCCAGAGCATCGTTAAAAGCATTCGCTGTCGGCAGTGGCCCATAAAATGCATTAATGCTTTGCATGCTGTGCCCCAAAAGTCCAAGTAAATATATATATACTATATGTATATGTAAATGTACATACGTATGTACATGTGTTATATGTTCGTTTGAATGTGTGTATATGTATGTATAAAGAGGAGCAGAAATAAAAAGAGATCCGCAAAATTGCATTTTTGGCAACAAGATTTTAATTGCATTTTGTATGTGCTCATTACCTTAAATGGAGAGTAAGAGAGAGGGCAATTCTCCTTCCAGTTTCTTTCTCTGTCTCTGCCATACTTCTGCCCTCCTCTCATTCTGGCTCTATGTTTCCATCTCGTTCACTGTTTGGCATTGGTAGCCGTTTTAATGCCAAACTTGGCAAACTTATTTGGAAAGCGACAACTGGCTAAAGAAAAAAAATCAAATAAAAACGTTTCTTATGACGGTTCGACCAGCATATACCCTCTACGGATAATGCAATATAATTTAAGAAATATATAGACGTGCAGATTTTGCAAGACTAAGATTTATGAATATGTAATTATTATTCTTAAATTATATCCTGTTTGATTTATTTTTTTCCCAGAGACCCAGGAGATGTATAATTAAATTAAATTTATTTGCAATCGAATAAACAAAATCTTTATACACTCTTTTACCAACAAAAATCCATGGGTTTACAAACACAAAAAAATAAAGTAAGAAATTTACAGCCTGGCAACATTTGAATATATTTAAAAAAAAGTCTGTGAGGAGGAACAACAAAAAAGTATATTTCACACACATGTGTGTGAGTGTTTTCACTTATGTGTGTGGTGGTGTAGCCACCACCATACGAGTCTCCATGTGAGTGTGTCACTTTTGTTTCAAATGAGTGGCAAAGTGGCAAAACGAAATGGGAAGCAAAGGCGAGGAGAATACGAGCCTGGCCAAAAGTAAAGACCCCACCAAAGAGAACAAAAAACAAATCAAAAGAAGAAAGAAGTTTTAACGACAAAAACAAACAGGACGAAAAGGGGGGACGATTGTACCCCATGTGTGAGTGTATCTATGTATGTAAATGTATGTTGGCGAGGAGGGGGTGTATGTGCATTTTATTTAAATGAAAAATAATTAAACTGTGGATTGAAGTCTCTTTTTTGTTCGCTCTCTTTTTGGGCGTAACGGAAAGACAATTAGGAAATGGTCGTTTAAGCAAAAGAAGAGGGTACGATGGAAGTGGGAGGGATGGGAAATGCGTAGTTCTGTCGGAGTGGAACTAAGAAGATTCCACCAGCCCTCCATCCAATGGACTCTGCTCCACTTGCCTCTCTGCGATTATTCCTCTATCCATTCCATTATTTTCTCTGTTCATTTCGCGTTTTTCTTGGCTGTTAATACTATTATTTTTTCATTTGTGCAGTGCAACACACACGCGGATTAGTGTTGAAATGAAATCGATTTACACTCGTGTGTGGGTGTGTTTGTATGTCTGTATTTGAAGCCATTTTTTAATTAAAGTGCAGCCGTTAATTGCATTAATCACTGCATTTGCTATGGGCCTTAGTGAATGGAAACGGAATCGATGCGGAATGAAGCGCGATGCAACGAAACGCCTCGTGGCTGAGCAGCCCCACCCTCAACAAAATATTTAAATGATTTTCGCTTCATTATTTAATGTACCATCAAAAACCAAAGAAAGTTAGTTCAGTTAATTTGTCAATCAAATATTAAATACAGTAATTGAAAATATCCACGCAAGTAGGCATTAAAAATGCAAATATTTAATAGCTGGCTGGTAAAATAAAACTAAAATCAACATTAATAAAATTATATAAAACTATATGGTTATACATAATGTTGATTAGGACTAGTACAAGCCGTTTGTATCGTTAAATAAAAATACGTACCCTAAGAGATTATATTGCATCGTTACGGAACTCTCCACACATTCAATATTCCATTAAAAAACCCACACAAAAATCGAATTTCCTTTCAAACTATACATTCTGATGGCACAACTCAAATGTTCTTATAATTACAGCTCCACTGCAGGACTCTGAGTAGCCAGTTTGGACGTCACAGACTGAAGCAGATAGAAACCAAATACAATTGACATTTATTGGCCAATATATATTTATAAGGCCCGAACGGAAGTGGCCGAAAACCCCGAAAGGAGCCAGAGAATAGCCACACAGACTGGAGACTGGCTATAAAAGAGAAGCAAAGATAGGAAAAATATCTATTTCAATGCTGTCGAAGCTGCATAAAAACTGTCCAACGACAGGCCAAGGGGCAGCTCCTCCTCCACGCCACATGCAAATGTCCGCAAGGATAGCGGCGAGTGGGAAGCGGACGGCTACGATGCCATCGCACCGACAACAAACTGGGCGTGGCTGCATCTGCTGGCTGGCCGTGATCGGACTCCTCGTGCTGGTGCCTGGTAAGTGAATTACATCGCAGTCGGGGAATGGGACAAACATTGGGGCATGGGGAATTCTAAATCTCGGCTAATTCCGATGGCACAATGTCCATGGGTGTAATGGGCGGACAAAAACGTTGATGAAATACTTCCAAAAGTTGGGCCAAAGCCTCAAAACATAAATGACACTGACGGCCGACGGCGACTGACAGCCTCTCGTCCGCGTCCGCGTCCTCGTCCCACTCTTAGATGTGTCCCTGACTTGGCGATAATTAATTTTTAAGCCGCGCAAAATGAAGCGCGGACAAGTGGTGGGCACGGAACGGGTGGCAGGAAATACTGGTAGCAGGGGCAACGGAAGGGAAAATCAATCGTTCGTAAAATAAACAAATCTTATTTTTCCGCAAACATTATTTCTCATCAGCGGAGTGGAGCTATGCGGGGGAGACATCACCAATAATGGTAGCAGAGCATTGATGACAACAACATTTTTCATAAATGCGCTCATTCATCTGCATGAAACGATGACCAAGGGGGCGCTTTTCCCGGGGGAGGCACGGTGGGGCAATGGGCGCCTGCAGTGGGTGTTGATTCCAAGGAAGTCGTTTAATAATGCGAGGGTTGCCCAGGGAATATGGGAAATTTGTGCTTACTTTTAGTATTTAAAGTACCCAGCCAAACCTCAATTTTGATTTCTCGATGTTCAAAACCTAATCTAACAATCAGATAGATTCAAAGCTGCACTTAACGCATGCCTAAATATCCGATTAACTAAATCGAGCTACAAAATTGATAGAAGGATTATATTTAATTCCCTAGCAACTGATTGGCAGACCCTCGCCTTAGCACTCAACAGACTGCGAATCATTGCGCTTTCCTGCCACTCCACTCCAAGCCAGAGGGAGAGCCCTGCTCCAGCCCACTATCCACCCGAAACAAAACCAAAATGATGATGTTGCAAAAGAAACTACGATACTAAATATCCATCCAATGCTTCAGACTGCCATTTTTGCTTTCCCATTCCTTCGAGTAATTCTGACTGCTTTTTGCCTTTGTTTTGGCCCTGGCCAAAAGGCGCGAGCGGGACAATGTGCAAACAAGCAAAGCGAAAAGGCAACTTGACTGAGGAGTGGTAGTGGATATTTATGTATCTATGTGCGAGTATATGTATATGTATAGATATATACTCCATGTATAAACAACGAAAGCAATTGCTGCCTAGAGACAGAAAATATTTCATAATTTCTTGCGTGATAAAGTCGCATTTGTTGGGATTAAATGAGATTTTCTTGCAATTACCGAATGCGTGGGCTGGCAGAACTTTTATTTATTTTGCTCTTCTCTTCTTTTCCATCCGGCTGTCTGACTGTCTCTGCCATATAGTAATTTGTTCTTCAATCCCCGAGTACTCATCGAAATTACAATTTCTGTCGGCTAGCAGCTTAGCCGAAAAGCATTCTTGTTGATATTGATTCGAAACTTTGGTACTGGTACTGGGCTTCGGAATCGCAATGGGAATAAGAGTGCGAATGTGAATTGGAATTGGAAGAGTTTCGGGGGCGAAAAGAAAAAGTTGCCTTTTCAATTTCACCACACAATGGGATCGATACTTTCTAATTTATGCTAAACACAAACAATGCAGATGAATACGCATACGTATACGGGGGCAGAGAAAGTCCTCTCCCTGACCATCCCGTTGAGAGCCGAACAATAAGCAATGCAATGCCTTGCATGAGGGCAAGGGGCTGGCTCTAATACTCATACAAAGCTCAGCTCATCCTCTCACTCGCCCAAAGAGGAAACTTTTTCATCTAACTTCGGCCTAGCCCCAAAAAACATGCAACATGTTGTGCTGGCGCCCTCTCCTCTCGGCACTATCAAGCTCCCATCATTTGATTCTGGCAAAACAAAAGCAAAAATTGGCTATATCCTTCAATACAGGCTGGTGCCTGGAAAAAGTTTGTTCTTTGCGGGAACTTCAATCACAATGGATGGCAGCAGCAGCAGCAGCCGCAGCCCTGGCCGAGATGCGTTTTCAATTTTCCCGAATGCGCAAAAGTCAGTTAGCCTTCTCAACTGCATCTTCTCTCTCTATCATCATCACCAGCATCATCACCATCATCATGTTCTTAACCCACATCACACATACGCCCTGCCCTGGTGGTGTGCAAGAGCTTTACATGCCTGATGCTGCTACCAGGGCTTCTGTTAAGCATCTCCTCTACGGGCATACACACACACACACTCTCTCTTTCTCTCTCAGATACAGATACACACACACACACAAGTCTATCGTATCCCTTCCTTTCGCACACACTTCACTTTGCATATCACATGAACTTGCACTTTGCAATTTTTCCTTTTTTGGGCCAAGACAGGTGGGTTGTGGGTGCTGTGGGGCGAGTGTTGAACCGTCTTTGTCTAGCAGACATTTACCGTTTACTGTTTTGACATTCCAACTCGGCTGCAATGCAGGCAGGCGAGTGACGTGCCTTTTGTCAGCATCCAACCATTGTGTGAGGAGTGCGGTTGATGTCAGTCAGTTTGTCGAAATTCCCATGTAATGGGCCACTCTAAGCAGGGTGAGAAAGTGAGATGGAAGCATAGACAGAGATAGAGATAGGGGGTGGAAGAGAGCGAGAGATTGGTATACCAGCAGAAAATATTTTTTTATAAACTAGTGGCTAATGTGGTTGAACTCGGTAAAAGGTTTGGTATTCCTTGCAGCCAGCTTAATTCCAGGGAGTGTGCTAAGAATGAAGCCAAATGTGAAATTAACTTTGGAAAGCCATGATTGGAGCCAAGCTACCAGTCCGGCAGATAGTCAATGTCGAGGCCAGTTTAACAGTGATTTAATTGCAGTGATCGCTTAGTTGATTGGATAGGAATTTTTTTAGAGAACTTCTATAAATATATAAATGTGGGATTTAAATCTGGATTTAAGGGGGGACAGAAGTGGGAAGAGTTATCTATCGATAACGTTTCTGAGCGTTGCGTTCGTGTAGTTGAGTAAAGTACTAAAAAATAACATAGTTGTCCATCCAATACTTTTACGAATTAATTTTAAGCACCCATATTGAACGTTTGAAATATATTATTATTATCCGGAACCACTGAAATAATACGTGTAAGTTTCCTACCTAAATAAGGGCGTTCCAATTTATCTTTTGGAACTTAATATCTGCACACTATCCATATCTAGATCAATTCATTAAATGAATATTCTTTTCCAGTTAAATTGACTCTTTAGCAATGGAAAGACTCAACAAAATCACTCTCTGCATTTAAATAGTCCCTTGAAAAATAAGGTACATACTCGTAGAATGAAAAAAATAATTTTCAGAGTTACGTGAGCCCTATCGATGCACACTCGGAAGTTTTGACTGGGTAACTGATTCCACCCTGACGTAGCTGACTTAATTGTCGTCATTTAGAAAGTAATTCGATTTCCCATGTCTCTGAACTTATTTTTATATTTATTAGGTATTTATTATTTAATTTTAGTATTTTTTTTTTGCATGCACTAGTCACAGATCTATCCTTATTATGATTAATTTAAGTACATATAGGGAACAGAATATTTTCGAAAAATTTAAATCAAACCAATATTCATGTCTATCAGCCATACCTATCACATCCGGGAAATCCAATTGTCAAAAGTTTTACTAAAATAGCCACTACATCCAAACGAATTCAATCATGCTGCCTGCAGGTCTCATATCAAAATTAAATCCACCGCAATTGGATAGCAGATCTCTCGTACACAATTGAAAATTAATATGCCAGCTCTCGTTTTGTAATCCCATAATATGTATCATCTATTAAGTGGCCTAGGCACGTCACACTATGCTGAGCTGCACTTAAAAGCGTTTTATTAAAAAAGAAAACCAAAAAATTTTTTTTTTTAATTTGCATTTCATTTGCAGCATACTCGTGCAAGTGAAGAAAAATTACCTTAAAATACAATTTTATATACGACCATGTGTATGTGTATGTGTAGGGTAGGTAGTATTTGTATGAGGAGCGGTGAAAGGATAAAGGCTTATGAAATATCATCAAAAAGATGTGAAAAACAGGCTTAAAATCTCATATAAACTGGCAGACAAACCAACAACCGTAATAACATAAAAAATAGTTGACAACAACGCCAGCAGAAACTACAATGAAACAGCAACAAGATGGTCAATGTACCCGTATAAATGTATTGTAAATTGTATGCTTCCCTCTATACTCTTCCAGAGGATATTTTGCCCAGGTGCCTGCATCGCACAGAATAAATTATTTCCCATCCTATTAGGATATATTAATTTCGGAAAATGATCTGTACTTTCTTTGTAAACTAAGGGACTGAGGGACAGTTTCAACTCTATTTGGCAGAAAAATATAAGGGGATACCGAGATTTTTTCAATATTGGATCTCCTTTTTTGAATTTAAATTTTTTAAAATATCAATAATTATCATTGGAACGATGGATCTGCAAGGGTATCTGAGGGTGCGGCCACCGAAGCTAACTCTCCCTTTTCCTCTTTTTTTTGGTTATGAAATATGAGTCAAGTTTTCAATGCATGCCGGATGCATTCATTATACCGCTGACGAGACTTCCCGAGAAAGGGAGAGAGAGAGACATGGAGGAGTGTGAGGAGGAGCAGCACACATGTTTGTCATTATGCAGTTTCATGTGGTTGTGTTGGTGAGGGAGATTTTCTTTGAGTTTTTTTTGCACATATATGACAAATGCATTGCACTCACAAAACGCACATACACCCACGGATACAGTCACAATCTTTATGATCTCATGCATATGTATGCGTTTATAAATGCCACTATACTGAGACAGATACAGATAGTCAAAAAGAGAGAGAGACAGATGGAGAGAGAAAGGGACAGAGAGAGACAGAGAGAGGGAGTTAACATTACTTTAAACCAAAATGGCGGTCGCTTTTGTGTTGGGCGATAAAAATCCTGTGGACCAAACATCCTGGCGAAAAGTATATTTTATGTAGTGAAAAGTTTGTTCTCG